CCCGTATGTTGAGCATATAATGTATATATATACATTATTCTCAATAAGCTTGAGTATCACCTTGCTAATGTTGATGAGTCACAATCACTTAGGAATTAATGGGTAATCAAATATGAATTTTAGAGTAACTCTAAAGATGAGTGCTATTCTCAAGGCTTAATAATTGATACAGGTAATTGATAATTGATACTGGTCTGGCTGATGATTGGGGTTAAGAGTATATGCGTGTGGGTTTTTGGTTTGTGAGATGGAAAGTGAGAGCTAGCAGAAAGAGAAGCTGAAGAAACCAAAACCCCGCCGAGTGGACCTTAGATGTGCCGTGGAGAGGAAACCGGAGCACGGCTAGGTCAGTCTTTGGGCCGATGACAAAGGTGCGAATGCTGTCATTCATGTCTGAAGCATACTGGACTCCTCTCACGCTATGGGCGAGTGTGAAATAATATGCTGAAAATTACGCACTCACGCACAGGAATACTCATATATAGGGGCAGAGGTGAAAGTATTCATGACCATTTGAGTTACTCGTTCCAGACAAGGTAACTAAACTCCTCCTCCACTGGTAACCATTATGTCTCCATACATCCATCAACAGAGGTTACGACATCTGCACCCGGTATTACAGAGCTGACTCTGCTAAAGTTGCTGTGCCATTGCTCAAATGCTATCGTGAAGCCTGTTACTATGACAGAAAACATAACATAGATCACAAATAAACTCACACATGCAAACAAAAACCAAACAGTCACATTGTAGACCAGCTTTGAAAATGTATATGGCCCCAGAGACTAATCTAAAGAAATCTAAAGTTCCATTCACTTCCACAGTCACTTTACACATTATTCTAGAAAATATGTGTATTATAAAGAACATATTAAACACTACCATTTAAAAGTTTGAGGTCAATAAGAAAAAAAAACATTCTAAACATGCTAAACACATACTTTACATTTATTCAGCAAGGACTAATTAAATTGATCAAAAATATAAGTAAAGACTATTACTTTGTTCATAAAATTAATTAATCATGTTACAAAAATGATTAACTACAAATAAATCTTCTTTTTTTCCCATCAAAGAATCCTGGAAAAAAAGTGCTGCTTAAAAGTTTTGTGGAAACTGTGATACAATTATTTTCAACAATGATAAAAATAATAATAATAGTTTCTTGAGCATTAAATCAGCATATTAGAATAATTTCTGAAGCGTCATGTGATGCTGAACACTGGCTGCTAAAAATACTGTAATATTTTTTATTTTAAAACATATTAACTTATAACAGAATACAGCTATTTTAAATTTGTAATAATATTTCACTGTATTATGTTTTTTCTGTATTAAATATCAATATTATTGAGTAAAATTATATATAGTTAAATATAAATGCAGCCTTGGTGAGCATAAGAAAGGTAGTGTATGTATGGATGTATTATACAAATAAAAATAAATATTGAAACCAAAGTTTGAATCTATTGATAATGGAATGAACTATAACCACACAAGTATACTTTGCTGTAATTAGCTTAGATTTACAAACGAGTGGTAAATTTGTACATTTCTGTAAATGTGCCAGTTTAGCTATTCCATCTGATTAATTATTATAATTAAAGCTACAGTTCTGCATCCTGAAAGTAGCACAATCCTGCACAGAACAGACAGCTATATGGTTTAATATCCTGCTATTTCGTCATATTAAAAGATGTTTTTCATCCTGAGAGTAAAACTATACATCACTTTAATATTGTAATGAAAGAGACGGGAAATGAAGCAATGATGAGGGAGAAGAGACTGTGAAATACAACAGGAGAGCAGGGATGAAAGATAAATTTGTGAGCAATAACTTGAGCCATGATAATAAAAAAGATAAAGACTGAATAACTGATGAAGAAGGAGGGATTGCTGTTAAATCTTGATTGAAGTTAGAATTAAGTGGGGCTAAACAGAAAATCTTCTAGATTAAAATGTGTTGAAATCCATTTCTTTTATATTGAACTTACTGTGATTTATCTGTGGTCTGTCCCTGTACTCTGGCTCTGGGGTCAACACTATAGTTTTCGCTGTTTGGCATTAAAATGACTGGTCATGTTCTCTTCTTTAACACACAGACACACACACTGTGCTGTTTGAGTAGGGGTCAAATAGGTTACTTAGTCTGATATAATTCATCAAACCAAATCATTCTGAGTCACAGCCAGGAGAGCTTCAAATATAATTGTCTTGGTCCCAAGGGCTCTCATTCAGCCAAGTGATTTTATTTCAATTGTGAAGGCTGGAGATTAAAATGAAAGGGGGGAGAAATAATGGAATGATGACTGCCTCTTATCTAAAAGAGCCAAGGGAACAGCTTTATCTCTAGTGGATATGCAGAGCAGAAAAAAACACAGCAGTTTCCATAATTAGTGCACATGAGGAGGCATCAGAGATGGTACGAGAAGAAAGAAAGAAAGAAAAGGAGCAAGGAATACAATTCTCTCTCTGTGTATACAAATGCTCAAAGCCCGGTCCTTCCATTCTAGAATGGTAAACAGATTCTTCTCAGCCACTGTGTAGCAAAGCTTTCCTGACAATCTGGTGTCTAATTACTCCAGTGTGCCATTCTAACCAGACAAAACAGCTGTTCACAGGCTCCAGTTCTTTCCACACACATTTTTAGATTCATTCTGCACCATTTCTCACCTCCATGCACGGCCCTAAATTAACACTCTCCAAGGATTTGGTTAGTAAATAAAACAGATTTACTCAGCAATTGGCCAGTAACTTTTTAATATACGTAATAACTGCAAACATTATAGGCCAATGGATTGATTTGTAAGAAAGACATTTGCTAAAACAAATGTTAAAACACAAGTAGTAAACAATCATGAAGTAAAAGACCACAAAGAACTGTGTACATGACATATTATACACATACACTTACCAGGGCCGTTTCTAGCCTTTTTCAGTAATAAGGCAGAGGCCCTCATCAAGTAAACACGTATAGGTTACCCCCATTTTCTTGGGGAGTCTGGAGGCATGGTCCATTTCCAAAATGTTTCAGTACAGTTATGTCACTGATTTGCTTCGGTTTGAATGTTTTAGGGGTTAATATTCCCCTCCATCCAGTGCTCCTTGTTTTCTGTGTTCAATTCTTTTTGTATCACATTCAGTGCTTGAAGTGGAAAAAAAGAAGTGCCGGTAATTCCCGATGTATGTATATAATACCGAAAGAAAGAAAGTTGTCTAGAGCATTTTTAATATAAATAAGCACCAGTTAAGCGGTGATACCAAACAGAACCACAGGGAGGCATCAAAAGACCACTAAAACTGCTGCCTTATCTTTACTGTACATGCTACTATACAGATCCATTCAGAATAACTAAACCACTGTCCAGCGCATACTCTTAAACACCTTCAGCTGGCATTCATTATAAAACACTCGTGCTTTTAAGTCAAATAAAAATAATAATTTACTACCATCTGGACACGAGTCACTATTCTCTCTGCCATCTCTGATGAAATCGTCCGTGTTTTCTTTGCATTAGCGCTGTTTTGAACTTATTACTTATTACTAATGCATTCCCTTACTGGAATCTTGAAATTTCCAGAAGTTTACTGGTTTCAAATGACCTCCTGGGTAGTGTGCTTTATAGTGTCATTTCTAATCACCCAGACACTGACGCTTATACAGTGTTGGTAGCATAATCTAATAGGTAGCATTATTTGTCAGAACACCGGCAACATGTCAGAAGTGCCGGTATGCATGAAAAAGTGCTTGTACTCTAAAGACTAAAATATTGAAGTGCCGGTACTGCGTACCGTTGCGTACTGGTCCACTTCAAGCACTGATCGCATTATTACTAGTTTAACGTTTAACAAACCCTTCCAAATAACATAGAGCATGAGAAAGTCTGTAACTGAATCGCAAACCGATTAATGCTTTGCTTGTCCGTTTCATTTAAAACAACCGACTCACGAGAGTGAATCATTAGAGAATTATATCATTTTTAACAGCGGGCAGAAATTAATTCAATATTCAAATGGCCAAAAGTTTATCAATTTTAACAGGTTTTAAAGTTACATTTTTATTTGGACTACCTCAGCGGTCAGTGATCGCGTCAAAATGAGATCAAATCGAGGCTTTACTGAAGCCAATTCTAACAAAGAGTTTGAAGATCTTGCTAAACATTTAGGCCTTAACACTTGTCAACTGTTTTAAAAGTTGAACAGCAAAATATTATCCAAAGACGCAAACTAGCCTTACTCAACTTTTTTAGTAAAATTTTTCCGTATTGAATGTAAAATATAGGCTATTTTACATGATTCATGTAAATTCATAATTGATTTTAACGAGACAAGAAACATTAATGGAGACGTTTTCGCCATACTGTATGAGGCACAAGATTAAGAGACAATTTTGAATTTTATTTTAAAACAAAACAAAAATATTATTTGCAAATTTACAATAAATTCAGCAAACACTACAATAAACTGAATTTTACTGTTTTAAGGTGATAAAGTGATATTGCTGTCACTGTGTTCTACAGCCTCAGTAATTCAATATGATGTGTAACTGCTCAGCGTAAAAGTCTTTGTTCTGTCAGTTTCTCTCAAAGAGAGAGGAAGGAGTGAAATGACTGCCATGCAGCTGTCAAATCACATCACTTCAACAACAATGAATGAAGAGTAAGTGAAAATGACCATCAATGGGCAGCTCCTCCTGCTGGACAAAGAGAGATTTTTTTTAAACTAATCTGCCATGACAGAGTGCTGTCAGCTCTAGCTACTCATCTGTCTCTCTGTGGAATGAAAGCATCTCAAAAGGCATCTTATGGACCAGATACCTTTTAGCACAAACACCAGAAAAATGTGCAAATGGCATCCTTTCAGGAATGCATATTGTTATAATGCATCTGAACCTGATGCGTAATAAATACTTGATTGGATGTCATAATGTAACACTATGAGAGTTAGCTCAACAATATTGAATTTGCAGCAGATGTTAGATCTGATCATGATTTTCTCACCTGTAGGGCACTTTTGAACTTCTGAAACATTTGTCACTGTCGTCTGTCATATCTCGTTCTGCCTCCATTTTATCTAGACATTTAGCCCACCTGAAAAACATTTAATATAGAGATGGTGTAAGTGTTAATGGAGGTCTCTCAGAACCTCTCAGCAGTTTCTGTCAGCATAGAGCAGCACAAACTAACTGCCCAGCCAACAATCTATTGATGATGATTATCTGCTTGGTAAATAATGTGTCTGTAAGTGGGTGTGCTTTTTTAAACTCTGATTCATTCCCATCCTGTCAGTTGATGGGACTTGAGCTTGATGGATGATTATTGAATTTATTTTTAACAGTCATCACAAAGTAAAGCAAAGGTGCCCTTGAGATCAGCTAGGTTTTTTATTTTTTGAACATCAGTTACAAAATAACATGCATATCTAAGTTTTCTCATTGACTGATTACCATATATAAACTATATTTGATTAGCCAAACATAGAGTGTGAATACGATTAAAACAGGCCTTTACCTCAGGTTAAAAAATAGAGTTTAGTGTATTGTGCAAAATGAGCTTTTTGAGACTTGTGATGTGTACATAAGTGAAATAAAAGGTTTATTAAGTACATTTTAAGACTGCCGAACACACATCTCAACCTTTGTGCTTTGACCTTCCTGAACACCATCCTGAATACTCTTACAACTCTTAACCTTTAGATATATATTTTTGACTCAGTTCATATATCATAAACATACACATCCGCGTGCACAGTATTCAGTATCTGACAGGTTGGAGAAGAAACCCCACACATTCACTGTGAACTGAAGGGCAACCCTTGACATGAATCCCACCCTCCAAAATAGTAGCAAGTGCATGCATCCTAACACCTCCCATTGGATCGCATCCATTATTAATCTCACCCCTTTAACGGGTTGTTCACAAATACCTGATGAATGATTAAAATCATACCTTGACAGGTCAGTAGGTTTGCGTTTATCAGTGCTCAGTGTTTTCAGTGGTCAGTCCAAAGTTGAATGGGCACTTGGCCTCTCTGCCAAGACCATATTCAAGTATTTTGTTTACACCACAACCACAGTTACCAGGCATACACACACAGATAGACTACAAAGGTCTTCCTCAGACACTCTGGGCTATTCCTCACTGAGGGTGTGTTGTTACACGTCCAATTATAGAAAAATTTCATCACTCCACAAGGCATCTAGAGTGGCAAGTGGCAGTAAGTGAACCATGCACACTCCTTCTCTCTGATACAACATCGTAAATATTGTTAATTCTTAGGATGCACAAACTTTGGTCTTTATGTAAGACGATATAGTGGATGAACAAGCTTGTATTTTGTTAACTGTCTAATGTGATAAATAAAAATGGTAACACTTTATAATAACTTTCATTTATAAATCATTAGCTAGTTAATATATATTCACATAGCTAGAAATATGAGATAATGTTCTTGTTAATGTTTCCTAATGAACTTACTAAACATTACCTAATGATTAACATATGATTATTTAATGTAAATTGAAATGCTAACAAATGATGATCTTCATTTGTTGGTCTTTGTTTGTTGTGTAGACCTCTATTTACACATCTTAACAAATAAGCTATTAATTATTTGTTCATGTTTTTGCAGTACTCAATCTAAAGTGGAAACTATTCATCATCCGCAAATGTTTATAAATGTTTACTAATCATTAATAACTTTATGAGCAGTCATCTCAATGGCAAAAAGTGTCCCGAAAGACCTGAATTTACCCTATTCACTCATCTTTACTATTCATTTATTAATCATTTGTTCATGTTTTTTGCAGTAGCCAATCTAAAGTTGAAACTATTCATCATTTGTAAATGTTTATAAACGATTACTAATCATTTAGTATCTTTATGGGCTTTGGTTTGTGTAAAGGGTGGCTGGTTAAGTTTAGCTAAATGCTTGCTAAAGACATAATAAATTGTAATTTTGGTGCAAAACATTTTTTTATTGCCTCAACACTTATATTAGTATACTACTCTTCAGTATATCATTAAACAGGATATTCCTTGAATCATAAATAAACAGGGGAAAAACATTTTAAAAAGAAAATACTTGTTAATTTAATAAAACAGTAGGGTACAATGGGGCTAAAGGCACTCCGGGGTAAAAGGCGCCTTTGATTTTATTTTCATCTAAACCACTAGATGAAACTTAGCTTAGCACTTTCCAAAACATCCGCTTTTCAAGATGCACGTGTATATTTGTCTGATCCTTGACACGAACGCGCACGACAGTGCAAAGTTGATTCTGTGCTTACTTGATCTCATATTTTATGTTTTTTTAAATGTTGTAGATTTAAGTAGCAAATTAGAATCGCTAAAATTAAAGCATATATATTGAGACAAAGGTCTTAACAATTTTCAGTTTTGTTTAAGATAATTAAAGCAACAGATTTTAATAATGAAAGAATATGTAAAAGTATGGTATTTGGGGTAAAAAGTGCCCCTGCTGTTGGGGCTAAAGGCGCACAGTAATTAACATGATAATGAATAGATGGCTGACTTTTCCATTTGTTGACATGACATGGTTAGATTCAGATGGTAAATATCATATATTATGTTGGGTGTCCATATTAGAGATAATCACCATGTTTAGAATGAAGCCATCATATTTAAAAACATGATATTAATTATATCATATAATTAAATATCATTTGTTGTTACTTACGGAAGTTCTAAGCGGCCATGCATGATTTTTTTTTTCCTTCTTCGAGAGTTGTTTTCTCGTTATAACGACTTAATTTTCTCGTTATATCGACATAACGAGAGTTGTTTTCTCGTTATAATGACTTAATTTCTCGTGATCGCGACATAAAAAAAGTTGTTCTCTAACTTACAAAACTGCGCCAACAGGTGGCACTATTGGCCTGAATATAACTGATGAAAAAGAAATGCATATATTTATGTAGTGTGACGTCTGATCTTTGAGAAAATATAAAGGGTCACTAACTTCGTCAATTCTTTCACTGCGTTTTTACTGAACTGTACCATACATTTGTCCTATGGTGTGACATAGTAAAAATTAAGGGGAAAAAACTCTTAATAATACATATATAGCATGAGAGAACAATCTTCATTGTTAGACACATTTTCATTTAGTGATATTTATTTAATATGAAATTATAATTAACATAATTGTCCAGGTGTGAAGAACTTGTTGCATCTTTCCCAAAAAGACTTATGGCTGTATTAGATCAAAAGGGTGTTTCTACTAAATACTGAGCAAAGGGTCTGAATACTTAGGACCATGTGTTATTTCAGTTTTTCTTTTTTAATAAATCTGCAAAAATGTCAACAATTCTGTGTTTTTCTGTCAATATGGGGTGCTGTGTGTACATTAATGAGGAAAAAAAATTAACTTAAATGATTTTAGCAAATGGCTGCAATATAACAAAGAGTGAAAAATTTAAGGGGGTCTGAATACTTTCCGTACCCACTGTATATAATTTAGGGGTGTCACATCAAAGGACAACAAAAAGTAAAACTTTTGTAGTGGTTCCAAAAAAGTTAAATATTTGAACAATTCTGAGAGAAAAATGTACCATCTGCTCATGGGCTTCACAGGGGGCTTCAGTAACATGATCATGAATGGAGTCCTTCAACTAATTAAGTTTTCTCTAGAAATTGACCGATTTCAAATCAAGATATGGTGTCACACCAGAGGACATGGTTTTCAGAGACAAAATGTATCAAGTTCCTACGCTTTCCGAAATGTATGGATGAAAAAAATGATTGCCATTTACCAAAATAGACACTTGTACAGTGCCAGAGGTATTTATTTTTAAATTTGTACATTGTACATTGTACATTTTTATGCTTTTCTTTCTTAAAAAAATCAAATAACACTGCAGCTTTTATAACAACAGATCCATGTAGGACAAAGAAATGTTTAACCATTTACTGCATTTTAAATAACGACAATATTAATTATATTCATTTTTATCTTGTGGGACAGTGAAAAGACCATGTCACGTCAACAACCCATTAACACAAGCTTTTAATCATTTTGAAATGATCAAGTGCTTGATCATATGGAATTGAAGGTTTAATGACATTTGTAAGTATTTTAACTTACATTAAATAATGATTTGTTTGAACGTTATTAATAAGTGTATCAGCAAACATTAACAAGCACATTATCTCACGTTTCTAACTCTTTGAATATAATATAATTAATGATCCATTAAGCATTATATAATGTTTGTTAATGATTTATTTATTTATTTAATTTTATTTAGTCATTTAGCAGACGCTTTTATCCAAAGTGACTTACAAATGAGGACAATAAAAGCAGTCAAAACTAACAAAAGAGCAACAATATATAAGTGCAAATGACAAGTCTCGGTTAGCCTAACGCAGTACACGTAGCAAGGAAATGAGGACAACAGAAGCAATCAATTGTAGTATTAAAACAACTAAAAACAGATCCAAAACTAAAAGCTAAAACTTTATAAATACTACTTATACACATTTTAAAAATAAAGAAATTAAATAAAAATGACACATGCATACAACAATATTTAAAAAATTAACATTTAAATGAAAAACAAAAAATAAAGCTAAAAACAATTCAAAATATTAAAGAACAAAAGGTATGAGTATAATAATGATTCTAACATAACACTAAATTTAAATTTAAAAAATGTATATAAAATTTTTTAAAGCCAAACAGCCAAACACCAAAAAAAAACAACGTACATGTTGTTTGTACACACATACACACACACACATATATATATACATACACACACATATATATATATATACAGTGTGTGTATATATATATATATACACACACACACACACATACATACATACAAACACACACAAAGATAAACAAGTTGATAGAATATTAAAAATAGAAAGCTATTTATTCTATTCATTTTTATCTTGTGGGACAGTGAAAAGGCCATGTCACGTCAACAACCCATTAACACTTATTTATTAATGGAAGTTATTATAAAGTGTTATCATAAAAATTATATTACCAGCCCTAGAAT